AGTGAGAAGATGGACAATTTTTAGCATGTTTGTTTTATGCATGTAAAGGTTTATCCTTTGGCTAATGAATAAATTACTCAAATATAGCCTTTTAAAAAAGTTTAATTTAATTTTATCAATGTACGATGTAGTTGATTTTCATGTCCCTTTACTGAATCCTCCCTCCCACCCTCCCCCCTCCATCAATATCATGTCTGTTCGAAATATAGCCTTTCTATATCAAGTTGACCAAATTGTGGTTTATTGCGTCTTAGTTACCTCATTTGATTGATTCTTGGCAGGTCAACCCATTTTGTCCAAACGGTTTTTATTATAGTGAGAATTTCCCAAATATAGCTCCCTTCACTGTGACCAGAATTTAATACTACCATTTTAAAAGTGGTATGAGAATACATTGTCTTTTATAAGATTAGAACACTTCAGATAAATCTAAAGTGCCCTTTCACCTGAGCCTGAACCTTTTTCTACCTTACTGTAGTTAACTACTATGAAGAGTTTTGTGTGTCTGGAGCAGATTGAAATTTCACATTGAAATGGTTCACTGAGTCCCAGGAAGGGATAAGGAAGACAGAGATCTTTTATATGTACCAGTGAAATTCTTGAGTTTCAAGTGTAAAGAGAAAATCTTAATAGCTTCCACTTTAAAAGGATGGGTTACTTAAAAGTAAATGATGATAATATTAACAGTAGCTAACATTCATTGAATGTTTACCATGTGCTTGGCCTTGCTCTCAGTGCTAAGTGCTAACACATGTGATAATCCACACAGCAAACAACCCAGTGAGGTTGTTACCCTCATTTTACAGAAGGGAAAATGGGGGCATGGAGGGGTTAATAATCTGTCCAGGATCATGCATCTGTTATGTGGTGAACTTGGAATTCAAACCCAGGTAGTCTGGTTGCAAATTGCATGCTCTTAGTCACTATACTGTTCTGCATATGAAAAATTTAGACTTGTGTTGGACTCATCTGTGGCACTGAAGCTAGAAGACAGCCAAATGTCTTTTGCAAAATCTGCCATTTGTTTGTCACTGCCAACAAACTACATCTTGGTGTATATAAGAATGCAGAAAATATGCTACTCTGAGGAAAATTGAGTAAAAAGATCTCAAGGTAGAACACTTGGAATATATAAAATGTGTTAACTAACAACATTCTAAAGGGGATAATATGAGAGGAGTGAAAGTTAACTTGTCTTGGTGGGATGGCTTAGTTATTTAATTTGGTATAGTGTTAGAAAAATATCAGTTAATCATAGCTACAGGATGGGAAGTGGAATTGAAAAGCACGATAGGAAGTTTCCAAGTTAAGGAAGAAGAAAAGGAAATGTGGAGAAATGCATCCAACCCAGTAAAAAGAAGGTAAAAAAGAAGAAAAAAAAGAAGAAAAAGCATTTGAATGTAGTTGAAAGAAAGTAAGATAAAAGGAATAATATGAGGTGTACATCTGTCATCACTAATTTTGAATGAGCTAAAATGCCCTCAAAAGTTAGATATTGAAAGTTGCATAATTAAGTAGTGTGTGTGCGTGTGTGTTAGTTCAGTGACAAAGAAAGCTTGAGAATGAATGATTGGGCAACGGTAAACTCTGAAAATGCAAATAAAATAAAGCAGAAGTGTCAATGTTAATGTCAGACAAATAAAAATTCAAGTTCGAAACAGGGAGTAGGCCAAAGGCAGATATTATGTATTTATGTTGCAATCCTTGAAGATGCTGCGAAAATGCAAATAAAATAAAGCAGAAGTGTCAATGTTAATGTCAGACAAATAAAAATTCAAGTTCGAAACAGGGAGTAGGCCAAAGGCAGATATTATGTATTTATGTTGCAATCCTTGAAGATGCTGTAAATCTTTATACAGCATAAAGATTTACATATAAATCTTTATATACCATAATCACATTGCACCCACAGATAAACAGAGCAAAAGCTCCAGGAAATACAACTTGATTAGAAGACAGTTATTATGAGAATTTAAAATACCTCTTTCACAATTTGACATATCAAGAAGACAAAAAATGAGCAAGGACTTAAAGAATTGGAATAATGCAGTCAACAAGCTTGAGTTTTGTTTTACTAAGATCCCATTTTTGTGAACATCCCGTAACTGAGGATGTACTCCGGTTGTCTTGAGGGTGAAATTTAAGGAAGAGGAAGATGTGAGATGTAAGAAATGGTGGAATTAATTTGGGAGTCTGTGAAAAGAAATAACAGGATGAAAGCTGAAGAGCATTCCTAGAAAGCAGCTTGTCCAATTAGAATTGGAAGTTAGTGGGTTTCTGAAATTATGCTTTAAAAAAAAGTAGCATGGATTCTAAGAAATGATATGATATAATGTGATTAAAAATTTGAAAGCTATTAGGGATATGGGGGAAAAAGGCCTATGAATTTTTTCCCAGTAAAAGGGTAAAACAGCAAGAGAAAACTGCAAAAAAATGCTGCAGATGTGAAACAAACTAAATTGTCATGTCAGGTGGAGGATTTGATGAAGTGTATGAAACAATTCATTTGAAATGGATGCTAGAAACATTTTCTTTTGGGGAGCATACACCTTGGCTTTGTAGTGAACTGTATTTACAGAATAGTAATGTAATTAAGTACTATTGCTTTTCAACTTTTACAATCTGCTTATAGAAGAAGCGCAAGAAATTATCTTCTTTATGTTCCTGAAAGATTTAAAACTTTGTTGTATGTTTTGTTACAGAGAAGTTATTGATGATTAAAAAAATTCTACAGATTTCATTGTTTATGATCTAAAATGTTAGTAGAAATCAACAAAAAGTTGAATAAAAATGGGTATTTGGGAATTATATAATATTCTTTAAAAAAAAACCCAAATGCAACATTTAAAACTGATGTTACAAATACCTAGAACTGTGCTGTCCAATATGGTAGCTACCAGCCACGTGTGGCTACTTAAATTTAAATTAATTAAAATTCAGTATTTAAAAAATTGAGTTCTTCAGTAGAGCTAGGCTGTTTTACAGTGCTTAATAGCCACCTGTGGCTAGTGGCTGCCACACTGGGCAGTGCAGACATGCAGCATTTCCATCCTAGCAGAAAGGTCAGTTGGATAGCTCTGATCTAGAAAGCAGTGCAAGGAAAACACTTCAGACTTAAGGGACATAGCTAAACTGGTATTCAGAGGAAATTTGAAAGCCTTTAATACCTTGCATTATTTAAAATAAAGACTGAAAATAGGTTAACTACCTCCTTAAAAAATCAGAAAAAGAAGAAAATAAAACAAAAGCAAGTAAGAGAAAATTAATAAAAATAAATGCTGAAAATAATGAGATAAAAATAAACCAAAACACAGAAATACCAAAAATGATGGGAGAAAGTAAAGATTCTGAACAGGCTATAATTGTTTAAAAGGAAATAAAAATGATTTTATTAGTCACAATATTGAGATGGTATTCCAGCTGAATTATATTTACCCTTTAAAAAATAGTTAGTGCTTTTATTATCTATTCTAACAAATGATGGTAAGCTTTTAAATTCATTTTTCTGAAGCTAGTGTAATCTTGATACCAATACTTAGTAAAGGTAATTTAAAAAAAACCCAAAAACCAGCTTAAGAATTAAGATGCAAAGATTCTAAATACTAGCTGATTTAATCACATACTATTAAAAGAATAGCATTTTCCTGGAATGTAAAGAGAGGAAATCTACCTCATGATTTATTGCATCAATAGTTGAAAGGAGATAAACTGTGTGATTCTGTAAGTAGACGCTGAAAAAGCATTTGATGAAATAATTAAAACTCTTATGTGTAATAAGAATTACACAAAACGACTCAAGATACGGGAATAATAATAGCACTCACCACCTAGGGTGGTTGTGAGGATTTCATGAATAAATATATGTAAAAACCTTTGAGCATTATCTAGCATAATATAGCAATTGTTTAGTGTTAGGTATTTTTATTACATAAACATGATAAAGTTGATTTGCGAAAACAAGGCAAATATTACATTGAATGATAGAACATTTTGGTTAAAATTACGAACAAGATAGGGTTATTTGTTCTTACCACTATATTCAGCATCATATCATTTTTTGAGTTTGTTTCATTTCTCTAAATGCAATAAAAGTAGGAAATGAAATTACTAATATAAATACTGGAAGAGGAGATAAAGTATTTTAAATTACAAATGATATGATGCTACCTAGAAAATGCAGGTGACTACTATAGATCTATTAAAATTAGTGAGTGTATTGGATAATATGAATACAAGATAAATAGAGAAAAATGAATAGTTCTTCATTGTTGAAATGACCAGTTAGAAATGGAAAGAAAAAAAAACCATAAAAATATTCACAGGTATGTTTAAGAAAATGGTCTGTATCAAGAAAATGAAGGTAATTATTATATCCTTAAATTAGAATTTAAGGAAAGTGAAACCAGATTTCAATTAAAAATTGTCAGGTTTTCTAAAATTAACATGTGAGTTCAATTCCAGTTAGAAACCTAGTGCATCACTTCAGGAAATTAGATGATTTTAAGGTTCAAGTGGGAAATATATTTCTAAGAATACTCTAGGAAGTAGACTATGTATTTAATCCTTCTTTTGACATGGTCCCTCTCTTCCTCTTCACTACAAACACATGTTGTATGGAGAAGGGTGGGGAAGAAAAACATGACATCTTTATGGCATTTTCCCATTAACCTTGATGTGAATGGGAATCCATGGAGAGTTAGAGTGATCATACATTATTTCTCTCTCTATTTTTTGACTCTTTCATTTGTTACAAGGAATGCGTTATCTTTAATTGATCTAATACAGAATATTGATAGAAGAGTTTAATGACTTTATACTCTAAAATGGTAATCTATTTTAGTTAAAATAAAAAAAAGCATATCAGTGGTTGATTTAAGAGATTTTTGAGAAATTTCTCTGATTTTTTTATACAGACGAAAAGACTGAAATGTTATTTATTTCAGCTTTGCTGAACATCATAACTCAAAAATTCTGATCTTTTTTTCCTCTCTCTCTTAAAGGTATGCAACCACTCATGTATTCGGTTCAGGAAGCGTTAAATGCCAGACCATGGTGGATTCGTATGGGGACTGACATTTGTTACTATAAGTAAGTATTCTAAGAATAATAGGACATTAGTTTACAGAAGGGGATAATAACTTTATTCTATTTCAGTGTAAAGGTAAAAAGTAGAATTATTATTGTATTTTTGGAATTGTGATGCTGTGCTTTTGTAATTCTAAGGAGTCCTTTAGAATTTGAGGTCCATTTAGGCAGTGTGTATTATAGAAATGAAATGTATTTTGTAGACAGGCAGACTTAGGTCCAAACTTTGTCTCCACCACTCAGATAGTTGTATTCTCATCGTTTTCAGCTTTAAAACTCTGTGAACTTCAGTGAATAAAACTGAAATCAGAAGTTACATGTAGTAATTTGCAGTGGCTTTTTGCTGTTTCTGTGATGCTAAGTATAATTCTTACCTTTTCCCTTCTCATATTAACACATAATTACCTCATTTTAATTTCCAGAATATGTTAATTGGAGATGTGTTTCATAGTTTTATTGTATCAGCTTACACAGTTCATCTTTGACTTCAAATAGGTCATTTACTTAGCAAATTAGAAATGTGTTAGAAATCATTAAATGTGTTAGAAATCATTAACTATTTCTATGGAATAATTGGATTATTCTTCGACTCTATTTCTAAGTAATCTAGTATTCTCATATACCTTGCTTCTCATTATTACTCTATTTCTGCATGTAAAATGTTTCCAGAAAACTTGCATTATTAAATCTACTTGGCATCCTTTTTATTTTGCTGTTATTAATCTTAATCCTGATGT